TTTTCTGTTTTTCTTTCCTCCCCTCTGCTATTGTGAGTGCCTAACAAGGTTAACACAGTGCTGCTGCTAAGTATTATCATTTGGGTTGTAATTATCACATGTGACTAATCATGTGCATGCTGAGAAGCTGGGGGAACTTGCTGGTTTTAACTGGAGGGGACATCTTAATGATAGCTTTTGACAAGCAACATTATGTGTGTCTATATACACATACATACACAGCGCAGAAATACACTGTCAGTGAAGGCAGAGTGGAGATGGAGAAAGAGAAGTTGCCAACAGAACAGCTGACTTCTGCAAAAGATGTCAACGCTCGTGTCTGTGGAAGCCCTTTGCTAATCGTGTTTAATAGAGAAGGAAATGAAGTTCAGAGAAGTTCAATCAATTGTCGAGGCCAAGCAATAACTGGGTGGCAGGCCTAGGTTAGCAGCGGAGGAGAAGTGTTAAACTCCAAGTGAATTGCTTTTCCAGGAAACCAAGTTCAGGAGACAATCAGATGTTTCTGATTGGTACTGATGACTTATGCATAAGCATTTGTAAGGCAGAGGGGGGTTTCAGAGAGCTGCCGGATGTCAGATCTTTCTCACCTGTTCTTCAACTGTGAACCTGGACTCTTCCTTTGACAGGAGAAGAATTGTAGACCAGCCTATACCACCTTAGTGGCAATTACAATATTTCTGAACAATGAAATTATTGTACACACTTGCCTTTTTTTTTTAAATTGGCTTAAGGATGATGCTAAGGAAGGTACTGCTGGAATGTCAGAGTGTGCCAAACTAGATTAAGAAACTTCCAGGTGGCCAAAGTGGCTGTTTTAGCCTATATTCCCACTGTCATACCTATTCTCAGTTGTCAACTTGACTATACCTGTAATTAATTAAATCTCAACTGGCTGGGCACACCTGTGAGAATTTTTTCCTTAATTAAATCATTTGAAGCAAGAAGACCCACTCTATTTTGGATCTCTGAGATGGAAAGATCCACCTTTAATCTGGGCCACATGTTCTGGCAGCCCAGATTAAAGAACATGGAAAAAGAAATCTCTCTCGTCACCTGATTGTTCTCGCTCTTGTTTGCAGGTACATTCCTTCACGAGTATTAAAGCCTACTCCTTCAACATTCCATTGTATACTGAGGACCAACAGAGCTATCCAACCTCATAGACTGAACAACTCCTGGATTCTTGAAACTTCCATTCATAAGCAGCCATTGTTGGATTAGCTGGACCACAGCCTGTAAGCCATTCTAATGAATCCCCTTTCTATATGGAGAGAGAGACTCACTCTCTAAGTTACTCTAAAGAACCCTGACCACCATGATCATATTCTCCACATTATGAGACCTTTAGGTTTCAGTCATTTGGTGAGAAAGGATGGATGTGCAGACTCCGGTTGGTATGGTTGATATTTGTTTTGACTCAAGTCTCCACCATTGTGTTGACTGGTCTGCTGAGTCCCCCTCCCCAAGGATTTTACCTTATATGTGGGGAAAAGGATTACAACTTGGCTGCCTATTTAAAAAAAAAAAAAAAAAAAAGCAGAATTCCACTTACATATGGCTTTCTTTCTTTCTTTCTTTCTTTCTTTCTTTCTTTCTTTCTTTCTTTCTTTCTTCCTTTCTTTCCTTCCTTCATTTCTTTGGTATTATTGTTATTTTTGTTTTTGTTTTTTTTTTAAAACAGGGTTTCTCTGTGTAGCCTTGGCTGTCCTGGAACTCACTCTGTAGACCATGCTGGCCTCAAACTCAGAGATATGCCTGCCTCTGCGTCCCAAGCACTAGAACTAAAGATGTGTGTCACCACTACAGGGTTCATCTAGTCTTTTTCTGAATTGCCTATTTCTTTCAAAGAGAAAAATTTAAAGACACAGCACAGCAACCTCCTGATTGGGTTGAACTGGCAAGTTCAAAGTTCTTTTGTTTTATGATACATCATAAGGCAAGAGATTCTCACTTCTAAATCTCACTCTTCATCTCTTTTCTGGCAAGCAGTAAACCCTTAACAATAGAGAAGTTCCCAATATTTAGGCTCAGTCTCTTCTGCTTCACACTTACCCAAGCACCACAGTTCCATAATCACAAACACCAGCAAGGCAAGGCTGATATTCCCTTTTGATAGAAGATGGAAACACCTGAGCTGAGAGCCTCACGTGCAGTATTCTTTTGATCCTGGCTTACATTCATTTCTAGGAATGCCCCTCCCCTCATACACAGACCTTCAGGTATCCACAAACAGAAGTTAGGAATCACTGGCTGCCCTCGCTCTGCTGTGGGCAGCAGTGCACCAAGCCCCCTCCCTGCCCTGTTCTCACTCACAGCTCATTTATTAACTGACTCCCATTTCTTTCCTCCTCCTCCTAACTCTGTTCAGTTACCTCACAACACCAAAAATACACCCTAAACTTGCCTGGTAGCTGTCAATGTAGTGTTCATGCCATAATGCAGATCTAATGCTTTCAGCCTCTCAAGGCCTTGAAAATACCAGGAGCATCCTTTCAGGCTCCACAAAGGAACTGTCTACTTCCTTCTCCCTTCCTAGTTGGCTTTTTCTCAACTACTAGCATTTCACATAGACCAAAAAAAAAAAAAGAACCCTTCAATTTCCACTGCTTGGTCTTGGCTTTAATTCAGAGCCTCACAACAGCACTGCTTTCTTATACTTTGATTTCAGAGATGAAGTATGCCAGCCACAGTCATGGTTAAGTTGTGACACTATGCCTATAATAAATCCTACACTAGTGTACATAGACTAAAACTTAGGGAATTCAAGCCTTCTTCAAGTTAAGGCTTACCATTTTGTCTTATGCAGGTTCAAATAATTATTACAATAATTTCTTCTTTGAGCACGTTTTAAAAATAGAATTATATAAAAATAAAATGGTATATCCTTCCAGTATCACAGCTCTATGTGTATTATTTCTAACCTACCAAATATATTTTCTTTCAGATGAGGAAAAAGACTCAGGAGAGCTTAGCAGCTCACAGCTGGCAGGTAGGAGAAGCTGAATTTACAGTGCGGTTTATTAACCTCCAGACAATTCTTTCTCAATCAACATGCTCTACTCATCCCTGCATTGGTTGTGGCGTCCTAAGACGGACCTGAATGGGGCATATCTGTGATCCACAGCTTCATCAGTGTTTGCATGCCCATCATCACATGCCCCAAATATTGCTCAGACGTTACCAAATTTCAACAACCGAGAAAAAGACACTGGCAGACACTCTGGGGGAGGAGTCTTAAATCAGGATCTTAAGTACTGGGCTGCTATGGAAAGAGAAGCTGGATCTGTAAAAGAGCCTCTAGCTGTGCGTGATTGATAATCAGTGCCTATTGTACATTCTAAATAGCTCTTACCTGCCTGAATAGCGCCACTGGCTGTGGATTATGGTTGAATTCATTACCTAGAGTTCTGGGGATTTTCTCTGCTGCCTTTAACACAGTTTTGCTAATGCGTGTGTGCTGAGAAAAGTATGCTTATTTGTATGTGTTTATTGCACATGAATATGGACGGTGAAGGAAAACCTTGGGTGTCGTCCTCAGGAACACCATCTACCTCTTTTTACACAGGGTCTCTCATTAGCCTGCAACTAATTAAGCTCAATTAATTAAGCTCAACTGGCTGTCCAGCAAGCCCAGAGAATCCCTCCATATCCTCATCCCAAGTGCTGAGGTTAAAAGTGTGTCACAATTTCACATGAGTCATGAGGGGTTGGACTCAGGTGGTCATACCTGTAAAGCAAATGCTTTACTGAGTTTGCTCCTTAGTTCCCTTTAAAAGTCTGGCTAGAAGGAAAGCCACGTAACAACAGATGCTTGGCAGTCTGTAGCACAGTGAAAGAGGGTAGGAATGGAAGTCTCAGAGTCAGTTGAAGGAGCTGACTCTTATCTAGTCTGCCATCTGTCTCTTCCATGTAAAGCCAGGCTCATTGACTGTTGGCATTTGTATTGATTTCGCCGTTCTTTTAGTGACATTCTAGTTTCCCTGGTAAGAAGATTCTTTCTCTTCTGCTTCCCAACCTTCAAATTTACCCTCGTGTTCAAGAAACGCTAGAAGTAACTCTACAGCGTGTTTCTGACTCTCTTGCAGCTAGCATTCCAGATACAAAAGTATGTTTCAAAGATTAGGTGTTTTTTCACATCAGGTTCAAAATGCAGAAGTGTATCTTTAAAAGCTTCATTTTTCAGCTAACTAAGATCGTTAAAAAATGATGTAGTTTTGTAGCAGTATTATTTTAGTGTCCCTTATCCAACTTCTTAGGTTGAAGGGCTATTGAGGCAACTTGTAGTTGCAGTTCCTTGACTCTTTCTGAACCCTGCCCTCCAGCCATGGGGATAAACAGGTTGTCCTGAGCATTTCTTTCCAACAGTAACCTCAGAAGTAGTCCTTTTTCCCTGATGAGACAGTCTTGCATTGCCCCCCCTTCACCATCATCACAACTACTAACATTTCTGTCTGCTTAGTGTATGTTAGGCACTAGGCTAAGCCCTTCAAATACATTTATTAATTTAAATCTCTCAACACTCCTATCAGGGACGCATTGGTTAATAATTTTTGCAGGTGGTTCAAGAAGGATTCAGAAAGGAGACTGGTTGTGTAAAATCAGAGCAAATTGAGTGGGTAATAATTGATCTGGAATTCAACCCCAGCTCCGCCTCCCTCTGAAGTCAGAATTCTGCCTCTTTACAGTGGAGGACTCTGTAAAATATTGGTGGATTCCAATCCCCGTGCAGGTTCCACTTCCGAAAAGGCTTCAGTCTTTTACCTTAAGTAATTTAGACACACAAATCATTCTAAATCATGTCAATTTATGTTTAGATTGTATAGAAACCTTCTTTCTAATTAAATAAAAGCTATGAAGAAAGCCAGAGATATTGTTTCGTGAAAACATGCCCAAACCATACTAAATCTATCTTTTACCACAAAAAAAAAAAAAAATGAAGAATTAAGATGAAATAGTCACAGCCTTCCACTTGCCTCTGGAGATAGCAGGCACACACTTACCAGGAGCTCGGCTAGCAGAGAGGTTGCGGAAATGGCTGCCTTTGATCATTTCCACAGATAATCGCCCTGTTGTGGCGTTGTAGGACAGTCCCACCAATAGCTCTGGCACCCCTCCATGAGACAGCGACTGTGTGGATGAAGCACTGTCACTGTGAGACACCACAGATGGGCTGAGCGGGGACTCTCCACTCTGGAGGGGAAGAACACAAAGAAGTCATTGGCCCATGCCTCGTCCTTCTCTTTGAGAGAAAGCTGATATTATGTTTGGTGAAATTGTGACCCAGTCTCAATGACTGCCAAAGATTACTAATGGGCACTCAGTGTGAATTACAATGTGTCGGGGAGCGCAGCCATGTATGAGACGGCCCGAGGTACTAGCCGACATATTTATTCCAAGAGTAGTCTCCATTCAATATTTTCTCTCTAAAGACAAAATGGACAAAGATGTTATTGCTCGTGTAAATCAAACCTTCTAAGATACATGGAGTGTGAATAATACATTTAATATAGGCCAAGATTCCCTCCTGTGCAATTTGTTTCTCGGCATTTCTACGGAACCTACCCACTCCAGAGCTTTGTCTCTGTTCTCCATGCCCTTGATAAATAAGGCAATATAGAAGATGTTTTGTCTCAAAGATAAAAGAAATGACCACTGGGCACTGACCAGTGTCTGGTTCCACTGCTTAAGAAGGGCATTCCATAGGGAAAATGTTTCCTTCTATGGAGAAAAAAAACAAGTTTACAAAGGAAGCGAGCACTTTCACTGTTAGATACTCAATAGGAGATAAGACACACAGATTGTGGGTCTTGGTGACCTGGGAGGCAGCAGGTGAGCCAAGGAGAGAGTCCAGACCTTTTCTCGTGTTTATTCATGTGCACACTTCTGAGTGCTACTATCATGAATGAGGCATGTTAAGAAGAGGACAATCTAGACAAAGCCACTGATTCTCACTGAGGGGGCATCGTCAGCCCGGGTAGGACGGTCTGGCAGTCTCTCCAGAATGCTGCTTCCTCTGCTGGACATGAGCACGTGAGACTTACCCTAAATCTTTCTTGACTGTATCTGAAATTATCTTCTAAAAGTTCTTACCAACATCCCCATAAGCAAAAACAATAAAAGGATTCCACAGCTGTGAGTGTCCAGGGGAAGGCAGCCTTTTAACCAAACCATGTATGATGAGAGCCCCCAAGCTTTCGTGGACAGTGATTTGTAAGAAGAAAAGGCTTGTGGTCTCGACAAGCTTTGGTGGCCAGAAGTTAGAGACACAGCAAGGAAACATTTGCATCCTTGGGTCCCCTTTTGACTCCTCTCGGAATTCTGTTCTCTATGAGTTCATGATTTTTTTTTTTTTAAGGAAGAATTTAAATAGATGCGAGACATGATCTGACTTCTGCTTTCTTGGGCTCATTCTAAGCCCTGTGTCAGAAAACGGCAAAAGCGTAGAGGCCACCAGCAGGGGACTATTCCACTAACCCACCAGAAAGCCGGATTCTGCTTCTATGGAGAGAGAATGCTCTCAGCTGGGAAAGAGAGGTCATGGGTGAGTTCTCCAATTTTGGAACTAGCAACTGGGAAAGATGAGCTTGCCAGCAGGCAGGTCTGGGAAGACAGCGGGTGGCATTGATTTAGAGAGGCAGAAACCAGGATTTACAGTATGAAGATGTTCAGTCAAAATTAGAACTTCAGATGGGTAGACCTTTGTGGAAAGCTTCTCTGCCCTCCACCATGCCTGTGTGGGTCTCTCCCTTTGCCTTTGAATATCTGCCCACACATGTCTCATTCCTTCAATTGCTTGAGCTATGTGGTTTGGTTTTGTTTTTTTCACTATCTCAGAAACCTTCTCCTGGCCATTCTAAACAAGCCAGAGCCTCTAGAGCTTTATACCAAGGCCTGCCTGTCAACACCATCCTCGGTGAGGCTGTGGAGCAATTACCACCACTTGCTGTCAGGAAACAGCCTCAAATGAATGACTGTTGGCTGACTAACCCATACCTGCCTGATCTTTCCACATAGCCTGGCAAAGGGGAGATCTTTATCGTATATGACAGATAATCTACATCAGTGATGGGGCTGTCTGATCTTAGACCTCCAAGCTCTGGAAGCCATGGGGCAGGAAGAGGAGTAAGATACGCTGTAGGAGACCAGTCATGAAAACAGAAGGTCTCAGAAGTGTCGGGAACTCAGGGATGCTGTTGTAGGATGTTTCCGAATACTTCAGAGCCTCACCTTAAATGCCCAGTGGTACCCAGCCTGCACTTGAAAGGCTGAAACAAGGGGATCATGAGTTTGAGGCCAGCCTGGGTTACAGCATGAGACTGAGGCCAGCCTGGGCTATGTAGTAAGACCCTTGTTTCAAAACCAACAACAAAACTACCAAGTCTAAGAATCCTCCTAATGCATACTGGGGATGGAAATGGAAGGAGGAGGAATGCTGATCCACTGAGTCAAAAGCCCAGCCACCGCCCCCTCCCTGCCAAGGTCTCGCCATGCCCTCTATTCTGTTGCCACTGTCATTTCCTAAAATGGGTGCGAACCACATCCATCGCATTATCAGGCTTGAAAGACCTACCGTCCATGAAGTGCAAAGCATGGCTTATAAGGACGAGGAGAGCCAACTGGAAAATTAAATTAACATCTATGAATTCACAAGCCGAATGTTGTAAATCAAGGGCTGACAGTCCCGGGTCTTTGAACACACCGCAACATTGGCAGGACCACTTAATATACTCACGCTCATATTACTTCTTGGCTCCAGAACCAGAGTCACTTTCATTTCGCCCTCTGGGTGCAAGTGGCTGAGAGAGAACAGCCTCTCTCCCATCATCCTCTCTCGGGTCATCTTCCGGGCAGCATACAGGCGGAAGCGGACAGCACAGGCAGCCACGTCTCTGGGCTCCAGCTTGGCGAAGGTGACCTTCTCCTTGAAGACCGGGTTGGGCCCTCTCTGGATGTTCGTCTTACCCCTCTGCTTCTTACTGGGGAGCAGCACTACATGAACCTGCCAGGAGTTGACACCGCTTCGGTCCTTATCTGGAAGACCCTGCGCTCTCACAATGGTCACCGTGAGCTTCTGGGTTACAGCTCTATATTCAAAGATGACATCCAGGTCACCACATTTTGAGATAGGCTCCGAGAGTCTGGGAGGCACCTGCAGATTGGTCCCATCCTGTTCCTGTCACAAGCAGAGGGGGAAAATGAGGACTGGCAAAGACGGTGACAAGTTGCTGCTCCTTGGTGCTTTCTTGGCTCCCGGGCTTCCTGACTGTCAACACGTGGCCGCCAGAAGGTCTGTCTGTTTACTAAGTTCTCACTGCTAGACTGAATTCTTGGTGTGAACAGTGCCTGGCATTGAGTAACCTTTTGAGAATGTGTTTTTTTTTTTTAATGAATAAATTAAGGGCTTACAATCTTTTAAAAAAACAACAGCCATTTGCACTGCCTCACAAAAAGTACAATGGTCCACATGGCTGAAATCATCCGAGACATGAAGACTCCAGTTAAATAAACTATCTACTATGTAAATGCAACAGGTAACTTTCGAGACCCTAGGAGTCATTGCTGAGCCTGGATCCGTTGTCCATAAATCAGAACTTTCCCATAGGCAAAAATCCCTGTCTCGGGCAGCTGATCATTAAGAGTCTTTCTAAATTTCCTGGGAGAGCAGGCTAATGGCTGAGCCTCTCCAACCCTAATGGCCACCTGAGTCACTGGGGGATTCTCTTGAAGTCAACAGCTGGGGGCAGAGACTGTATTTCTAAGATGCTTGCCAGGAATGTTGGCTACAGAAAGCCATGCCTAAGGAGATCATTTACAGCAGCCAATTAACAAAAAGCACTACTGGAGCCAGAAAAACTGCGTTAAAATCAGAACTCTGCCACTGGTTAGTGTTCTGAGCCCTGGCCAAACGGGAAACTGCACATTCGCATATGCCTACTGAAGACAGGAGGATTGCAAAGCTACAGAAATGCAGTGAGCTTTTCTACACTCTTCAGCTAGAGGGCCAATTTTAGCGTTTCACTATGTCTCCTTTGTGTCTTAGTCTCTGCATACTTACATATGACATGTATGTACACGTGTGTACATATTTGCTGAATCATTGAAATAAATGTGAGACTCTGCTTTTGAAAAAAGAGAGAGTAGGGTTGTAAGGTTTTAGTCAAAATGATAAGCCTTCTTCAGACCCGACTCCAGGTTTATTCCCGCTAGTGGCATGGAGTTAGTTCTTCCCAAGCATGCTTCTCTCTTTATGGAATATCACTACTGGCTATCCACTCACCTGTAGGTACTCAGATCTGATGTCCTTACTGGGAAAACTAAACTGAACATCACGCACTGTAAATACCACGACACCAACAATTACTAATAATGTCAATATGATTTAAATTTTTCCCTGAAGGCCCGGGTCTTACCTATAACTAAAAGGATCTCACAGTGAACCCCTTCTTCATGTGAATCAGTTCCTTGTGGAATTGAACTCTAGATGTTGCTCATTCTGCAATTATAAGTCTGCTACTTATAAGCTCTATAACACTGGGCAAATTATTTAATACTTTCCATTAGCCTTTCCTCAATAGTAAAATAAGGATGATATCCACTGCACAGGGATGTTGTGCAAAGTAGAAGACTTGACATATAGGAGACATCTAATAAATGCCCTTCCCTTTTAAGATTCAAATTAGCCTGCCAAGAAAATTCAGCTCTCTTGTAAAATAAGGGGAGCTCCTTCCATCCTTTCCCCTGTGCATGCAATCATGCATGAGCATTTCTATTCAGAGGTACTTAGTTTCAAGTGATAAAAGTGGTTGCTATAGAGACTTCTGAATACAACTGACTAGTGTATATATAATATTAGAAGCAAGTCTCCAAGGAATTTGGCTAACTGAAAAACCAAGGCAGAATCTTTTCTTAAGCTCCTGTCTCCCCATAAAACTCCCATCTATTTTATCCCACTCTTGATCATCTACATGGCTTGCCTAGATGTAATAATAGCTAGCATCTTTTAAGTTGTTCTTAATGTCAGGTAGCACATCAAGTCTGCACATTTGAAATCCCCTTGGCCCCATCCCTTATTTCATTTTCCTGCACAGGTACAACCAACCTTGGCTCTGAGAAGTTGCAGCCTGGAGTGACCCAATAATCCATTACCTTCTGCTTATAAAACAGAATGCTTGGTTCTCATCCTTGGTCTATTGGTACCAAAGCTTAGAAAGTACTCTGCTTCTCACCAAGTTTGGAAAGGCCAGAATGTGCCATCATTAACACTCTTTGCAATAAGCTTTCTCCCTTTGGCAAGATGACCTGAGAGCAGGTTACAATTTCTTGGAGTACATCCCACAGGATAAAGCAATTGGTCAAACTGGGTGGTGGCCAATTCAATGGCACATTCTCATCCAGGACCTCTCTTCTTCCTTCCCTCATCCCCCCCCATCCTTCATTAAGAATGTGCTCACTAGCAAAGAAACAAAAGCCTTCGCCTTCAGCTCTGTCTTACGAGGGAACTCAACTAAGAAACACCGTGCTTTTTAATATTTATACCTGCATAATGAGGTAGTGTTTGAACTATTTCATGGGAAAGGAAATTAAAGCTAAAAAGGGCTATGTAATACCATTCCAATAGCAGGGTCATATTCCAGGCCAGCATCATTCAAGTGTCCTACCCCAGCAGCCTAAGAACACACCTCATCCATTGTTAGATAGTCAAAATACCAGACTTTGTGTTAAGCCACATGACCTACTTCTTTCTGTCAAACCTTCCACTGTACATGCTTCTGTTTCGTAAGTATGTGAGATGAAAATGGAAACTGGACGCCAGTACTGTAAATTCATTCCCTTTCAGGTAGGTCGGTCTCTGTTCCTCATATTAGGTAGGAGTCATATTAGGGAGTCATCTACTTCAATGCTAAGGTAAAAATGCCTGGTAATAAGAATCTCCACGCCAGCCCATCAGCTGTCTATTCAGGTAAGTGCTCCCTGCACCTGCTGGTTTCTGGGGGAGTCCCCGGCCAAAGCTACTGCAATTGTTCTGAGAAGTCTGGGCCAAGCACAGCTCTGAGCATCAGCTATGTTCCCCATGGGCCAATCCTAGCTGTTGCTCATGAAAACTGGGCTTTGCAGCCTCGACCTGGGTTGATTTGAGACAGAGATTTGTGAAGTTTTGTATTTTCATAGCAATTAATTATTTCAACGCACATCACCTATCACCAGGCCACCAACGGAGCTCCTTGTATGGGTACTGTTAATACTGCTAATCTGTTTGACCTTCCTGCAAGGTAAAACTCTCTTCCTCTTTATCCCCATTTGGCAGATTTTAATTAACTTCTCAAGGCCAACCAATTAATCAGTGGAAAGCAGAGATGAAAAGTGGGACACCTGTCTCTCTGTGTATCTGAGACTTCCAGCCACCTTCCCATTGTTTTCCCTACCAAGCCCCAGGTCTGTGGGAGAAAGTCAATGGACTTTGCCAGCTAAGGGTAAACTGGAAAATCCATGATCATAGCAGGTAGTCACACCGCATGAGTGCTTTCCTTCTGAGACAAAATAAATGATTCCTTGAGCTCTCCTGTCCCGATGTTCCCCTTCAAGGTGGAAATGCTTGCATCAAGCTGTCAAAAAACCCACGTACGTTTAAAGATTTCCTGTCAAACCTGAAAAGCCTTTCTGTTTTAGTAAGATAGTGTTGATGTCATCTTGTGGCCCAAAGTAAATGGATCCACAATCTGTTCTGGATGCCAGATACACCAGGGAAGACAAGGTTCTTAACACAGCTAAGAGACAAATAAATCAATGCTTAAGAGGCAAGCTACGGCTGCAGAGCAGGCAGTTACGGGAACTGCCTGAGCTCCATCTGAAGTTCTACAGTAGGAGCACCAAATTACAGTTTTTGTCTCAAAATAGATAGGAGGTTGAATGGTGCACACGGAACTGTCTGGGTATTTTTGGAGTCTGAGAACATTCAGTACCCTTAGCATAAGTCATCTATTAAAGTACCGGGAGGCAGGAAAATGGGAGGTTACGTGCAGAAGGCAAGCCCAAACCTAATGGCACAATTATCAGGGAGACAAAGAGTTATCAACAGGCAGGTAAATAGTTCTGTTTTGTTTTTGCAGTGAGGGAGACAAAGGGAATATTTTTAAATATTGTGTGGGATTTGATTTGACTCTGAGTAGTGACACCATGGGAAAGCAGGCTTGTATTTTGTTTCTCTCTTTCTTTTTAATAGAACTGATGAAAAGTGAGTAGCTTTGAGTACCTGTGTAGGAGGGGCTGACTAACAAGCCATAAACCAGGTACCTGAGTTTCCATTTCTGGTTTGCAGCAGAAACAGCACCATAGAGGCACTAGCAAATGCATGCAAACATGTGCAGAGGCCTTCTTACACACGTCCTACATATGTCCACTAACATATGAAAACAGCCAGGCTGTGGAACAGGATTTTCTACGATTTTCTTTTGTGTTTCTTAATCAATCAATCAATCAATCAATCAATCAATCAATCAATCTTTCTTTCTTTCTCTTCCTTCCTTCCTTCCTTTATTATTTATTACAATTTATAATTTATTCACTTTGTATCCAGGCTGTGGCTCCCTCCCTCATCTCCTCCCAGTCCCACCCTACCTCCCTCTTCTCCCCCTATGGCCCTCCCCTAGTCCACTGATAGGGGAGGTCCTTTTCCCCTTCTATCTGACCCTAGCCTACTGGGTCTCATCAGGGCTGGCTGCACTGTCTTCCTCTGTGGCCTGGCGAGGCTGCACCCCCCAGGGGGATGAGATCAAAGAGCCAGCCACTGAGTTCATGCCAGAGACAGCCCCTGTTCCCCTTACTATGTAACCCACTTGGAAACTGAGTCTATTGGCTACATCTGAGCAGGGGGTCTAGATCCTCTCCATGCATTCCTTCTAAAGAGATTCACCCCATTTATTTTCTCTAGTTGCAGTAATCAACTCGTTCTCTATTTTTATCTTTACATATTACATTGAGGTCATGTAAATATGAAATTTTTATTAGTAATTTCATCTAAGTTGATTTCAAGTTAACACCTCTCAACGTCAACAAATCATTATGGAAGGGATGCAACTCACAAACATCAACCAGAGATGCCTGTGAGACAGAACAATGTTTGTAAGACCTGGGATTGCAGTAGCTAGCATCCCTCTCTGTCACGGGTGCCATCCCTACACATCATAGACAAGCGTTACTTTAAAGACTGATTCATAAGCTGCATCTTTCATCAAATGCTTATTACAAAAGTAACATCAGTGGCCAGAATGTTGTAACACTCAGTGCTGCCTTCAGCTCACTTCAAAGCTAATACTATAAGACCTTTGTCCTAATATCATGTGCGTTTTCATTTGGAGGGCATTTTACTTTAGTTTAATTCTCCAATAATTTTTAATTTAGCAGTCATAGCCAAGGATTTGGGGTGAAATAAAACAGAACCCACTTTTCCACAAAGGAAAGCAACTAGGCTCTCCAAAGTTCTAAAAATCCTTTTGTATCAGGATATCCCTGTGAAGGTGCACTCCCTGATGGCTTCTTTTCCATTGCTCTCACCACATTCTTCTTCCACGTCCATTTTGAGAGGATGTATTTGTGATTCTTTTATTGCTATTCGCAGAGGCTTTGGTCATCTAGACAAACATTTATTTCAAATAGAAGGTTTTTCTTTTCTTTTTCTTTTTCTTTTTCTTTTTTTTTTTTTTTTTAAGGCCCGGCAATAACTTCCTTTCTGGAGAAATCAGGCGAGGGAAGGGAAGGAGCACATGGTACTAAAATGAAGAATGGAGAACAACTTGCCTCTGGACTCCACACAGAGGAGCTGTGGGTGGCATAGGGATCCTCAAAGCCCTGACTAATAAAAGCCGTCTCTGTCTCCAGGATGCCATTCGCACAAGGACGACTGAGGCTTCGGAGGGCGACAGTCTCTTGATGACAAGGGCCGTGGTGCCTGGCGTCACGGCTCTCACAGGGGTACTGTGAGAGGGCGGAGATGGGGCGATCTTCGTAAGGCAGAAACTCAGAATAACTGAGTTGACTGGTTTCATCCAAATCTAAATTTGCAATGAAAAAAATTTTCAATTGTATATTTTTATACCTTTCGATCTAGAAAAATCGAACAATGGCATACACAACAATCAAGACCACAGAAGCGAAGCTTATAACAATAACATCTTCGAAGACAATCCCACACACATGATGGATAAACTTTGCCCCTATAGTAAAAAGAAAAGCTCATTATGTGAGATAAATGTAGGTGAGGATCATGAGCTTGAGGCCAGCTACAGGGGGGACAAATCTTTACAAAAAAAAAAAATTTGAAATCTTGATCAAAGTAAAAGCTTCTGTATTCGAGCCACACAGAAATTCTGATGTGTGAACAATGTTCATATCTTCTAACACTTTCTTTCATGCATAAAACTATTTTAAAAAAGCCATTGGTGGGTAATTATGGATGTACAATAGTATCCTGTTGGGCAGATAGCAGCACTCTTTTCCCATAAATATTACATTTTCACCTGCCTGGCCCAAACTTGATTCTTCCGACTCATTAAACTCCAGTTTCCAGAGCACCTCACCATCCATTTCTGGGCTCCCTGGCTGTTTCTCTCCTCTCCTCACTGTCTTGTCCACTCAAAAGAACCAACTCCTGAACTATCCCTGACTCCTTCCAGCTCAGTGTTTCTCTCTCTCTCTCTCTCTCTCTCTCTCTCTCTCTCTCTCCTCCTTCTGAAGCCTTCTGAGCAGAGGGTGATGTGCTAACCACAGGGGACAAAGGAGCACAGAAGGAGGAGACCACATCCTCGCTACATTACTGTTTGCATTCTAGAACTACCTCTAGGTTATCTGTTCTGTTGCATCGGTTTTAACCGTTAGCAGAAAGATCCATCCTTATACTCATATTATTAAAAAGTAAGGAGTATTAAACCAGGGCTGGGGGTTGTCTGAGTTGGTAAAACACTTGCTTTGTAAGCACAGGGACCTGGGTCCAATGTCCGATACCAATGTAAAAGCCTGAGTGGCTTTCTCTTTCATTCGCTCTCCCTTTGCCTCTGCTCCTTTGCCTCCTCTTTCCTCTCCTCTCCCATTCCTCCCCAGGACCCTACTCACCTCATTCATTTCTCCTCAGTGTCAGCAGACAAAGCAAACCCGTCAGGTACCTCCCAAGCAACAGCTTCAGCCCTGACTCCCCCACCCCAATTAAGATGTCTCATCTCTTTAGCTCCCAGGCCCTCTCAACAGTCCCCAGCCTAGGATGAAAGAAAATGAGAGACATAGACAGGAGTGGGGCATCCAAGAGACATCCCTAGTTCAGCTCTATGTGCCCTAGCAGCTCCTTGGGAGTGTCTTAGAACTTCAGCTATCTCATAGGCTCCCAGGAGGCATAAGCACGCAGAGTCTTTATCCGCTGCTACATCTTCACTAAACCTTCAGATAACGTTCAAGAGGAGTCGTGTAGCAAATACCTGGAGCAGCCAGGTGTGGAGCAAAGCCGAATCCTGGTGACGGTAACTAACCAGGGTACAGCGGACGAAAATGCCGATTCAAGCTTAAAATAGATAACGTGCGGCTTGGCCATTGCTCAGGGGTGAGTAGTAAAGGTTGGGTGCCCAGAACCCACATGAATGTTAAATGTAATTCTAGTGTCCAGGTAGCAGAGAGGAGGGATGCCCAGAACTGACTGGCTAGACTAGCCTTATTAGGAAGGTCTGAGTTTACCGGAGAGACCCTGCCTGCCTCACTGACTGAAGTAGAGAATGATCGGGGAAGACTCTCAGCATTGGGCCTGGACCTCCACACACATGTTCACACATATGTACACGCCCCTATATGCACACGCACGCACACACACACCGCCTACATACACAAGCACATGAGAATGAGTATCTGTATGTAAGTATATGAATATACATACTTGTATAGCAGATGAGTATGTATATGAGCAATATGCATACATATGAATATATATGGGTATATATACATATGGATGAGTATATATGAATATAAGAGCATATATGCATATATGTATATTTGTGCATATATATACTCATTCTCATGTGTATTTTTAAAAATACTATGTAAAGACCAGATTAGCACAACTTTGGACTCTGGATTTATAATTTTTCAAAACCACACCAGCCATTGAAAAACTCCTCTCTCTCTCTCTCTCTCTCTCTCTCTCTCTCTCTCTTGTGTTATTCTTAAATATTCAGCTCAGGCTTCTTAGAAACACTTCCACAGGATACCACACACACAAAAAATGTTACATTCATACTTTCAGTTGTTTGACAAACACGCCTATTTAAAAGCCACAGAAAACGACAGAATGCAGGAAACTTCTCATGCAAAAACCTACAATAAAGCAAGGTTTTCTTCTAAGTCTCTAATTAGCACACCCATTCCTCACATACATGAACAGTGAGATGTCCTATTAAACAGTGGGCCGTCTATCAATGTGTGCAGTACCCAGCAGGACTTCGGTACAAAATCTAACTTCGCAAGAAATTATCCCCATAAAATTGTCTCCTGACTTTAACTCCTATGGCGATAATACCTAGATCAGCAATGCGGGGACTTTCAGCAGCTACATTAAGCCATGAAACATTATTCATAACTGAAAAAATAAAACCGTATTAATAGAACAAAGCATTTCCCATGGCAGACAAGCGAGGGACAAATTAGAAAATCGAGTCTGGGCTACAAGTCAAGTAGCAACAAGAAGGAAAGGAAATGTTGTGTCACCATAAGAGTTCCCTTGCCTGCAAATGGCAGAGGGTCACGTCGCTTTAAACACACATGCAAAGGAAATGGCCTATTTTCAGATAAATAGATCTTGGCTTTTTAGAGGTTATATGCCATAACTGTGTCACATTGAATATATTCACATGGCCAGAGAAAGTGTTCAACTTGTTCAGGATATGAGCCACAATAATGGAACACTCCATTATATAATTACTGTCTTTCATACTCTCTATCTAGCCATATAGGAAGAGTGTTGCCACTCACTATTCATAATGGTCCACCTGCATGATATCTTAACTGGGTTATGGGTGCCAATTATTCAAACGATAATAGGACTTGGTGTGTTGCTATTTTGCGACTATGACTGAGATTCATAATCAGTTGGCTTCAAATGAAGGAGACAGTCCTATACAACCAGTTAGTGGGAGGGCTAGAAGGGAACTCTTCCTGGAGGAGAAGAAATTGTATCAAAGAATGGAAGCTCCTGCTCATACCTGAGCTCTTGCATCCACTTCCTCATGGCCTGCTCCAGGGAGGCCACAGCTGATGATTTCTGTGTCTACTCAGCACAATCAAATCCAATCACATATGTGTGTGTGTGTGTGTGTGTGTGTGTGTGTGTGTGTGTGTTTTCTTAGTACTGCTTCTCTGGTTGGTATCTCATTCTAAACAAAACTGGCTAGAGATACTGAGGATATGAGTTTTTTTTAACGATATGGAGAAGAAGATATCTATCTTTTATAAAAACATCTTAGTGGACATACACACCTTTTGGTATTGTCATCTACAAAGTTCACACTCAAAAAATCCACAATAGCATTATGAATTTTTAAGTCTCCTAATGTTTTAAATAAGTTTGTTATTTTGCAATTAAGCCACATTTGTAGCTCTCCTGGGCCACAGGTAGCCCACAGGCTTCAGCTGGACATGCTGATAAGGAGCAGCTATTCTTACTTAGCTTTAAGGTTACTGCTCAAAACAAATTTTTAAAAAAAGCAGTCCCAACAAGTCAACAATTAAGCTATAGCTTCATGCTCTGCCTGGAACTCAAACCTTCCATTACAGGAAAGATAAAATTGTGACCTTTACAGGTAAATGGATGGATCTAGAAAAGATACCATTGAGTGAGGTAACCTAGACCCAGAAAGGCAAACATTACCTATTCTCTTCTACTGGAGACTCCTAGCTCTAAATTTTCAGATGTGAGCATATAGCCTGTCATGACGACAGAAACTAGGAAAGAAAAGTGGAACCATTGCCAGAATAGAGTGTATAGGGAGAAAAAAGGAAGGGAAATAGCAGAGCACACATGATCTAATCATGAAAACGGGAAAAGAGGGAACCTAGGGAAAGGAAATGGGGTCAGTTCAGAAGAAGGTGGGAGGAAAGTAAAGGGGAATGGCAGGGTACAAGTGACGATATGATGGGGAAGGGAGGCTCTCTATGGAAGGGGAGGGAGGTAAATACAGGAGAAGGTTAAGGACACATTGTAAAATAACTCCAGATCTGACACCCTCATGCAGACATACATGCAAGCAAAACACTAATGCATATTAGAAAAAAATAAATTAATAATAAAAATATCACCAGAGGATTTTAAGAAGGTTAAAGAGACATTGCAAAAGAAGTATGAACTAGGGCAGAGTGCCGGGAAAAGCTGTCTTCCAGCCATAACATGGCCATTGTATTCAGGCACTCACGGCGTCTGAGGTTACCTGCACGAGAGCTGAACAAGGTCAAGCCAGTCAAAGCTGTAGCTTGGAGGGGGAGGGTTAGAAGACCACATTAATAGTTAAGGAACTATTGTAGGTGATGGCTGCTGGTGGAAGGGGAGTCACTCTTCACTGAGGCTGTGGTCACTGGTACATTGCCTATGCTCCAGTGAAGGGCCTTACCACCTTGCTCATGTGTGCATCGCGAATTGGATTCAGCTGCTTTGGGGAGAGGGAAAAAAAAAGAGGATATGAAGCTGGGAGAGTAGTTGGAGCAGAAAAGTTGGAGGTAGATATGACCAAAATATGTTATATATATATATATATATATATATATATATATATATGCATGAAATTCTCAAAGAATAAAATAGCTATTTAATAAAAGAATGCATTAACAACAACATAAAGCAACACTGAATCAAATGCCTAGGGAAAAAGCACAGCTTGGAATATGCTGCTAATGACTTTGTAAGGAATCCATCATGATGTCACTTAACGGAAGCATAGGATACAATAAGCCTCCTGCAGTTCATTCCAAATCCAGATTTCACTTGGATTTTGAGCATTTAATTTCACTGTCCAACATTTTAATGCATTCTTTAAACAGGAAGAATTGTCTACAATTAAACTGAATCTAAGTAAAATTAATTAGCTAAATGGAAAGTAGGCAAAATATAAAGAAAAAAATTATTCTTTATCATTAAACAATTCCACTGCTTTAACAATGCATAGAAAAGAAATGATAGTAAAAATAAGCAATACAAACATTCATCTTTCCACGGCTTTGATGACCTCAAATTTAGCATGCGGCTATTTCTATAAAAATCCTTTGGATTTTCTTCAGCATTTATAGTAATTCATTCAATGAAGTAGACTTTGTCCTCTGTCCAATAGAGGGAATTTCATCTTTTCTATCACTACCTGTCAAAACTTCAGAATTACTAGTTGTGACAAGGATTCCAGGAAGGTAAGGCTGGGTGGCTGTCTCCATTCTCAGAGCCTTGGCCATTTGTATAAATCAGAACCCAGACGCACAGGCTTCTGGGAAATGGGGCCATTAGCTTTAGAATTAAGCAAGGGACTCTCAGGGAGTCACCTACTATTAACTTTCATTAGCCAGCATTTGCCTGTTTGGCGGAGGGAAAGGAATGCAGAGTGGAACACTAGGGAACAGGAGGGGAGGGGAGGGGGAAAGGCAGAGGGTCTACAGCCATTAATGTGTGGTTTGTCAAAACGGGTCATATTGTCTTTTGTCAATAAGTCTAGCTGAATGATGAGTAGCAAGCTTTTCCTGCCTACCATGCCTCCCCCCCAACACGGTCCTGTTGGTTAGTCAAGCCTTTGTCCTTTTTCCTCTTGTCCTGTTCTCATTGTAAAACCACAATCTCTTAGTTCCTCTAGTCTCCTTTTTCTCTGTCTCAAGTTGACAAGATGGACGATGCGCCATGATAGTCCCATTGCCATGGCTGCCATACACCCAATGAAAGAGAAGGAAGACTGGAGAGCTTTGACCACTGTGAGCAGAGGGGAAGTTAGATGGAGGACCCTTCATCTAGCCTTCTACTAAAATAACTGCATTGCTCAGACTCTCCCCTGGTCCAGGATCTGGGGGCTCTGAGCATGAAGGTCCCAAGAAGCATGCTAAATGTTATTCTATTCTTTCTGGGCCCTTTCCCCAGTTTCATAGTTTATTTTCTTCCCACTCTGGACTCTTAGATAGGTATTTAAATTATTCACCAGCATTCTTCCCATTGACCATCCTTTGCCTAGGTAAGGGAGAAACATGCTGCAATCAATACCTTCATGAGCAGACACTTCAGCGCTGTCTTCTTGGTAAGTGGACAGCAAATGCTTGCGTTTTGTTTTCTGTCCCAACTCTGTTGTTTTTCCCTTCTCTGGTGCTCCCGTACGAAAACTCTGGGATCGGGACACAGAGATCTCAAACTGCTTGATCACATCTTCCTCACTCTCGGAAGAGGTGGGTGGCTCTTCATTATCCCCGAAGCTGTTAACTGGGAGCAAACAAGAGTCATAAGTCCCCTGTGTGGCTCTGTGCTCCAACAAACCAGAGACAGACAAACCAGGAAAAGGAGAAAAAGAGCATGGATGATTAGCCTGATGGAACAAGTTCAAACTGGATAGAAAGGATTTAAAGCACTCTTGAAACAGAAATCTGGGCCAAAGGGATAGCTCATGGAGTAATTAGAGATAGATGGCTGGCACCCAGGAGAAAACAGTAGGACACCCATCACTGGATAATGACCATCTTGAAATGTAGTGCTGGCCCTCGGCCCTGCTGATTGGTGATGGTGCATATAACCCTAACTGGAAAAGCAGGGCTGTGAGAGGCACATTTGCCCAATATGCAGTTCTTGGGGAAAAGTACACTTTGTCTTGCTGCATTTATTAAAACACACAGAGGCAAGCTCTACTTCAGAGGAGAGATATTTCCAGCTAGGATTTTCCAAAGGCTTCCTAGCTTTGAAGGGAGTTCACTGTGTGTAAGGATTTCTACTCATTTGAATCACAAATGTTCTCAGTGTTTCTCAAGGCAACCAAGATAACTCTAGGAATTGCTGCTCTTAATGTATTTCACTGGGGCTGGGGAGAGAGCTTGGCGGCTGATGTGTTTGCCTTGCATGCAAGAAGACCTAACTCTGCTTCCCCAGCACTGATGTAAAGAGCAGAGGATCCCAGCATGCACTTGTAATTTCAGTGCTGCTGAGGTGGACACAGTCAGATCCCTGGAGCTTGCTGGTCAGTCAGTCACTCTAGCCAATTCATGAACTTTAAGTTCAGTAAAAGGCCATGCTCTTAAAAAAAACAAAACAAAACAAAAAACAAGGCAGAGAGTGATAAAGATAGCTGATATCAACCTCAGGCCTCCACATGAGCACACACAGGCACACACACACATAACTGTACCATATATATATGAACAAGTTTGTCAAGGGAGGTGATTCTATGGGGAAAGGGAGAGAAACGGTTATCGTAGTGAGAAAATGTGTCTATCTTCTCAAATCCCTAGCTGTTTAATATGTAGGGACTAAAAGAGAGACTACAATCTACTTATTTAATAAAAACTTAAATACAATACAACATATTAACTAGAACCTCAGGCTGTGCTTTAGCTCTCTAAATCTTTAGTCTTCACATCTGCTGTGTCGTAGCCTTTGTGCTACATCTCCTCGTGCCCTCCCCAACCCAACTTTGGAAAGCCTGATTATTTGTTTTTATCGATTGAACGCCCTTTAAAAAATTTTTTTTTCTATCTAAGTGGGAGCATGCAACGTTATTTCTCCCTAGCTTATTTCACCTGGCGTGATGTCTTCCGGGTCCATCTACCTTGTGCCAAAGGGGAAGTCCAGTTCATTTTAAGGTTAAATAATAGACTTTTTACATGCATGCTTATACACACATACACACACGTATCCTTTAGCCACCTCTCGAATAAAAACACAAGTTATTTCTATATCACGCGCTGTAATGAACATGGGACACAGATATCTTTATGAGGGGGCGGTGTTTACCTCCTGTGAGTGTGTTCTCAGAAGAGGGACTGCAAGGTCATATAGCAGCTCCACTTTGCACTTCTGTGGGACCCTCCATACTGCCTGTTCCAGTGGCTTCATGAGATAACCCTCCTACCAACAGCAAACTACGCCCCCTTTTGTTTTCTTGGTCTTTCCGATCACAGTAATGTTAATGAGACGCCATTTAAATCATCTGTACGTTTTCCCACCAGCACACTTTATTGTAGTCTCTCAACCTCTCCCACATACCAAGATCCCTTCGTGATTCTGCTGTTCCTTCTTTCTCTCAGGGACTTTCACAATGCTGGCTCCTTCCCATTCAGGTCTCAGAATGACTGTCCTTTCATTCCGAAAGCTTCCCTGACCCTCTTCCCTTGACTAGTTCTCATCTCCATCCTCTCTTCTCCCCTATCACCTCTTTTGTTAGCTGATGTCTTCCTATTACGTGAAACAATGCTGGTGGTATGGTAAGTGAAAATGCTTGTTGAAAATTAAGCACTTTGTGAATACCAAGTGCTGTCCCAAGCCAGAGTACACACATACACTCTTGTGCACTGTTTCCTAAGAATGAATTCTCATACCCCCCCCCCCCCCCCCCCCGTCTAGACAAGCTAAAAATGTCTCTGAGGTTTCTGTCTAGATAGTGTATTTTTCAGAACATCCTTCCTTTATGGCATAAACCAGGCTAGTGGCTTCTTCTGTTTGCTATAAAACAATTCTTGTGTTTACCTTATCAATGGCATTCCTTCAATGAGGAGGAATTACTGTTTCTTAGCATGCTCTCTTGAAAGAGAATGGAAGAGAGGAGAGAAGAGAGTGGAAGAGACAAGAGGATGGGAAGCAGAGGAGAAAAAAAGAAAAAGCGTGAGGCAAACTGAAGTCCAACAATGAGAGTTGCAGATCTGCTATTGACAAAGGGTAGGTACATATTTGAGTCAAAGCAGGCTGACCTGGAGCCTCTTAGCCTGGAGTTGGGGCATAATGGGCCTGGGGGTAGGGGTGGTCCTTATAATGCTTGCTCATGCTAGCAGCCATGTGGCTAAGTCCCTTAGCCTCTTAGGTCCTGTGTCCTTTGTATGGGGTCATCCCTAATGTCTCCATCATTTCTCCAGTTTTTGCAAGTACTCAACTTCTCCAAGTCCATCACTGCTGGCTGATGGGCTTCAAAATTCAATTCATGCCCTGTTGATCTCCATGGAGCATCTCATCTATGAACGAGAGAACGTACTTATTTCAACTCAGTGTTACTACTCTTTCCGGCACCATGGTAGGACCAGAAAAAATGTCCAAAAGAATCCTAGATCTTTCATTGCTATTTCAATAATCTGCACAGATAGCCCCTCACCAGAAACCCCAAGAAGGAATAGTCTCCTCATTCCAATATGTGTTTGGCTTAGCATTCTGCTAAGCAACTACACAGTGGCCAAGGGGACAAGCATCCATTAGCACTCTTCCCAACTCTATGATATCATTTGTATGCTTAGGCCAGTTTTTAACATTTAAACAGCCATAAGTCATTCATTTATATATATGTACCAATGTGGGATATTCCCATACCTAGAAAATTATTAATTATATTAAAATACACACAGACACATACACACACATTGATTTTGCTCAATGAGTCACTGAGTCTACAGAGTAAGGCTTCTCCTTACTTAATATAATAATCATATGGTAACTATAATATCTACCCTATTTTCAGCATTTAATCTTCTTGGAACTTTGGATGTTCTATTTACTCTATTTACTATTATTGTTCACGTTGGACAGATAAACAATGACAGAAAACAATAACTTGCATAAGAAAACAAAAGAAAGTAACAAAGCTGAAACTTGAACACAAAACCTCTAGTCCTAAGCATTTTGCATATCATCAAATGTCATCACATCAGGAAATAGAGCCATGTCTAGACTACTCTTTGGATGAAAGAGAGAGAGAGAGAGCTTTGCTTTGTCATTTAGCCTTCATCTGCCAAATGGCTGTTTCCTCTTTGCTAGATGGAAGATAAGAGCAGTGAGAAGGACAGCTGATCCACGTGAGTGTGGGCAGGCTGCATGATTAGCAGTCTGTCACTCTGCATCTGATCTAAATATGACTGCACCTCCTATTCTAAGCCTCACTTCCCAAGGATCTCATAGCATTCCCAGTCTGAAAACGAAATTGTAATATCTCCTGAATGCCACTGGACAGTGACAGTGACACCATTCTAGTGACAAACGCAATCCTGTATTCAACCTCCAGCAGATTTGTGGTGGTTTGAACAGGAATTGCCCTCATAGGCTCTTAGAGCTGAATGTTGGCTCACCACCAGGAGTGGGACAATTAGAAGGTGTGGCCTTCCTGAAAGTAGGTGTGACCTTGTTGAAGGAGGGGTGTCACTAGAGCTGGGCTTTGAGGTTTCACATGCTCAAGCCAGGCCCAGTCGCTCTCTCTTTCTCCTGCCTGTTGAGATGCAGAACTCTCAACTACCTCTCCAGCACCACGTCAGTCTACATGCTGGCACACTTCCTGCCCTGACAATAATGAACTGAACCTCTGAATACAAGCAAGCCCCAAATAAATGCTTTCTTTCATAAGAGTTGCTATGGTCATAGCATCTCTTCACAGCAATAGAACTTTGACTAAGACAAGGACCTAGACATTCCTCTAAAACTTGTTAAATATTCACTTATTTCCTCCATACAAGTACCCAATGAAGTCAATATTGTTAGCACGCTCATTTAATGAGGACCTAAGACTTAGTGTCAGTCATTAGCAGTTCTAAATACAAAATCAAGATTCAAGTCCAGACTGTCTTGTTCCAAAGGCTATCTTGTTCCAATACTTCCTCAAGAAAAACAAACAAACAAACAAACAAAAAAGACTAATTAAAAGACTGTGCTCTTTCACTAGGAAAATAAAATTAGGTTGTTTTTTTTTACTCTTATGAGCATCTATTCCCCATTTAAATAGGGAGAGTTATCTGCCCATGGTCAGCCCAAGCCAGGAACAATTCAGTTCTCTCCAGTGTTTGCAATAAAGTATGTGGCCACGCAACTCTACAGTCTGTCTTCCTAATGGTTTTCTCCCAAGATTCAAATTTTAGTTCTTATTTGCTTGAATGATCCAGTTAACTGCTTTGAAATGAAACCATGTCAACAACTAAATAGCTGATCTGAGTTTCATTTAATTTAATCTCCGAAAAATCAGTCTCGGCTAAATTATGACACTTATTTCAAACAAAAGGCAGTGTTTAATGGAGTGCCATGTGAATATGAAGTTCAAATTCCTTTCAAGATAAGTGTCTGAAAATAGTACAGAGGCAGGTTTTCACTAAAAATCTTGACTCCTTTAGCAATTAACTTGTCAATATGACAGGAAAAAAATTTCATAGTTATCTTGAGTACAGATAAGTTACTTTGATATGTATTCATCTTCAAACTGATGTTCTGTTCGTTTCACTCAATGAGAATGCAGATAGATAGATAGATAGATA